ATTTAATTGATCTCATCTGGCCAGGCGAGGTGGTTCACCCCTGTAATCCTAGCACTTTGGGAGGCAGAGGCAGGTGGATCACTTGAGGTCAGGAGTTCAAGACCAGCCTGGCCAACATGGTGAAACCCTGTCTCTACTAAAATACCAAAAAAAAAAAAAAAAAAAAAAAAAAAAAAAAAAATTAGCCGGGCATGGTGGCAGACGCCTGTAATCGCAGCTACTCCAGAGGCTGAGGCAGAAGAATCGCTTGAACCTGGGAGGTGGAGATTGCAATGACCTGAGATCATGCCACTGCACTCCAGCCTGGGGGACAGAGCAAGACTCTGTCTCTAAAATAATAATAATCATTATTATTATTAATCTCATTTCACTCCTTTCATTAAAATGATTTCAGTTAATCCATTATCATGATTTTCAGACAGATAGGATTTATTTCCATTTTACAGAAGAAGAAATAGGCAAACTAGCCGGGCGCGGTGGCTCAAGCCTGTAATCCCAGCACTTTGGGAGGCCGAGCCAGGCGGATCACGAGGTCAGGAGATTGAGACCATCCCGGCTAACCCGGTGAAACCCCGTCTCTACTAAAAAAATACAAAAAACTAGCCGGGCGAGGTGGCGGGTGCCTGTAGTCCCAGCTACTTGGGAGGCTGAGGCAGGAGAATGGCGTGTAGCAGAGCTTGCAGTGAGCTGAGATCCGGCCACTGCACTCCAGCCTGGGTGACACAGCGAGACTCCGTCTCAAAAAAAAAAAAAAAAAAAAAGGCAAACTACAATTAAGTAAATTACCCAAGGTCATATAGCAATTTTAGTGGCAGAATGGGATTTGAACCAAGTTTTCTGAGTCAAGCCACCTGTTCACATTATAGTCTTAACTCTTAGTGGAATTTAAAGACAGGCTTGCCCTCCTGTCTGTCCTCCTTCTTCCAATGTATGTGCTTTATTTTATAGCTGATCATGTTCCAAGTGGTCCTGAATGACCCATTCCTACCTACGTTTCATCTTTTGTTTGAGACAGGGTCTCACTCCGTCACCCAGGCTGGAATGCAGTGACGCAATCTCAGCTCACTGCAACCTCTGCCTCCCGGACTCATGCCATCCTCCCACCTCAGCCTCCTGAGAAGCTGGGACTACAGGTGCGTGCCACCATGCCTAATTTTGGTAGTTTTCGTAGAGACAGGGTCTTGCCACACTGCCCAGGCTGGTCTCGAACTCCTGGGCTCAAGCAATCTGCCCACCTTGGCCTCCCAAAGTTCTGGGATTACAAGCATGATCCACCATGCCTCACTTCATCTTCCGTAGTCATGTCCTGATGTCACCTCAGAACCCCAAATCTGGGGTCATTCCTGTGGGAAGACGGTTCTCTGAATTTTACCCATTAGGGGTGGGGACAGTGCATCACTGAGCCTCTGTCTTCCCCAAAAGACCTCATCTCCTCTTCACCCCCTTTGCCCTTCCAGGTGGGTCACAATGCCCTTGAGGATATATTTAGTCTCTTTGTAAACAGAAGTGAATCAATGTTCATTTGTCCCAGCATTGTTCCTGAGAATGCAGCCAGGCCAGGTAGGGACTGAGCCTGAGACTCCTCGTGGGGCACTCGGTGGCACTGTTCCTCACAGAGACTCTTGGGCCTCTGCTGCTCACAGGGTCTACCAGCCGCGCTCTGCTGCAGCCCCTCTGTCGCTCAGAAATCCCAGACATACAACCAGCCAAGCTGGAAGTGAGCGCAGGGTTGCATATCCAATGCCTTCTTTCCTTTTTCTCTGATAAAATTCTTAGACTTTTTTTTTTTTCCCTTTTTACCCAGGAGCATAGATTCAAGTTGCCCTGAATATACATGCTCAGGCTTTTTATTTTGAAATAATTTTAGATTTACAGCTGAGTCACAAAGATAGCACAGGAAGTTCCCAATTATCCTTCACCCAGCCTCCCCTATTGTGAACATCTTACATAACCATGGTGCCTTGATCAAAACTACGAAATTAATATTGATACCACACTACTAACGAAGCAACAGGCCTCACCGGGATTTCACCAGTTTTTTCACGAATGCCCTTTTTCTGTTCCAGGATCCAACCATGCCTGCATTTGACAGATGGCCCGGAGGGTAGATGTGGCATCCCCAGGGTCCCTCAGAGAGCTAGCCTGTGGCCAGCCCTCCCTCTCCCACTGTAGCTTGGGTTCCTGCCCTCCTCACCTTCCTACCTTGTCAAGACACAGGTCTTGTTGCTCTGTCCATGACTCTAGCATCACAGACGCCCTGACACCACCTTGTCCTGCCTGCCCCTGTCCCTGTCCCCATCCCCATGGCCACCTACCCAGGCCTTCCTGCTCATGTGCTTCCCCCCGCTCACCCCGGCACATGCACACACATGCCCTGAAATGGCTGGCTCCAGCTTGGCTCCCGTGGGTGCTGGGAGCATTAGGCTACTCCCATTCACCAGGCTGTGTGGCCCACCACACTGGCCAGGGTTCTTCCCTCTCTGGGACTGGAGGACACACAGTTGACTTGATGGGGACCCTGGTGGTTCCTATCCAGCCTCCCGTCCTCCCTCAGCTGCCTCCCTTGTCTCGGCGCCTCTCCAGCCTCTGTCTGGCTGCTGTTCTCTCCCAAGGCCTTGGGAACGCCTGCCTCTCTGTTGTCTCAGCACTCCCTTCCCAGTTTACAAGGGGCTTTTGGGGAGGGCTTTCCCCCCCGGGATAATGGGAGGCATGGAGCCATGGTTTGCTGCGGTCTCTGCTCTCTGGGCAGTGAGGCTTTCTGTTGTTTACCTTAGGCTGCCTCTGAAGCTCCCAGAGCCCTGCCCAGACATGATCTCACTCTCTCAAATCATCCCTGCGAGGCAGACAGGAGTCTGGGACCAACCTGCCCCACTTCACAGGTGGGAAAACTGAGGGATTCACACATGTGCGGGCACGCACAAGACACACACACACACACACACACACACACACACACACAGAGCAAATATGTTGATAAGTTGCTCTGCAGTCCTGGGGTCCCGTGCCTGCAGTTATTTGGGAGGTGAGAGGTCCAGGATAGGGCTTGGCCCAGCTGCATTCAGCAAGTGCCTCAAAATTCATGGGCCTTGTAGGGATATCCCACAGCCTAACACGGGGCCCTGCCTCCAGGGAGCCTGTGGTATCAGCAGGTGAGAGGAGTCTAAAGAAACACATCCTGCGTTGCTGAAGTTCCTCAGTCCAATTCTAAGGCAGCTCTACAGGCACATTTCACCAGGCATGGTGGCTCATGCCTGCAACCACAGAACTTTGGGAGGCCAAGGCAGGAGGATCAGTGAGGCCAGGAGTTCAAGACCAGCCTGGACAATATAGCAAGACCCTTGTTTCTACAAAGAAATAAAAATTAAAAATTAAAAATTTAGCCGGGCATGGTGGTGCACACCTGCAGCCCCAGCTACTCAGGAGTCTGGGGCAGGAGGACAGCTTAAACCCAAGAGATCAAGGCTGTAGTAGGATCTGTGATCATGCCACTGCACCTCCAATCTGAGCAACAGAGTGAAATCCTGTCTCTAGGGGGTAACAAAAGGCACATTTCATGAGGGTGGGCCTTGCGTGTTGTAGCAAGAAGTGCTGTGGTGGAGAGGGCCCACTCCTGAGGGTCGGTGGGCTGCCTGGGGACGGTGCCCAGTACTGGACAATCCACACAGCTCCTCTCCGATTGTCGTGCCTTCCCAACACCCCTGTAAAACAATAATTGTTATGACCCTACTCTACAAATAAGAAAATTGAGGCTCACAGCTCACCCAGGAGCACAGAGCAAGCCAGCCAGCAGCGGCTGGCCATCTGGCTCCAGGTCCTGAGCTTTGTCCACACCATCAAGCAGGGAGGCACACAAAACCAGCCGAGGGAGAAGAAAGGGGTGGCCTCTGCCGGGTGAGAAGCCAGACGGCCTGCTTCGCAGATCCCTTCCAGCTGGCCTTGCCTTCCAGTTCTGAGGGGCGGGTGAAGGAGGAAAGGCAGAGCTGGGAGAGGAGCAGGCGCTCGCCACAACAACCCCCACCCTGCTCTCCACGCGCCAGGTCCTGCACGCTAGGTGGGAGGGTGACGACAAGGATGGAGGAGCAGGGCCCCACCCCCGCCCTCCCCGGGCGCACCATCTGCAGCGGAGAGGGCCTTGAGCTGCGTGCGAAATGCGGTGGGCAGAGGGACACTGATGAGGACGGGCCGGCTGACGGCAGCCCTCTCTCAGCCCCCGACTCTTCCCGCCATCCCCAGCCCTTCCCTTCCATCCTCCCAGCGCCTGTCACTCTTCCTGCCCAAACCAAGCATTTAGCACTTAGTCTCGAACCCTCAGCTGACTCCTCATCTAGGACTCCGTCTCTCTCTCCAACTACAACAGAATCTCCTTAAAGGCAGGGGTTTATGTCCCCCTCCCCACAGGCCACGTGACATTTATTACTCTTGAATGGAGTGAGAAGAAAGTTACTTGGGAGATGATCAACTCCGGCAATGCCATCGTGTGTTCACGGCAACAGCGGGGCAGTGGGTCCAAGGGGCGGCCCCGGGCCTCCGTAACGTCACCGGGCTTGTCGCGTCATAGTCGCCTACCCCTGCGGCGCAACGCGCCCTGCAGGAAGGATGACGTCACGGTCGGAGCTCCAGCAGACCAGTGCGCGCTCGGGGAGTAGGCGAGTCGGGGGCGGCTGGGAGACGTCCTGAGCGCGCGGGACTGACAGGCGGCAGAACCCGGGCGGGGTCCTCCAGAGCTGGCCCGGCGCCCACCCAGTTGCCCGGCGGCCCCGGGTGGCCCCGCCCCTTCGGAGACTGCCGCGGGCCGGCCAATCCGGGCAGGCTGCGGCGCCGCGCAGCCTATCAGCGGCCAGGGCTCGCGTGCGCTTCCGCGTTCGCGTGCGCTTCCGCGTTCTCGTGCGGGACCGGCCTGCTGCCGCAGGGACTGGGAGAGGGCGCAGGAGCCCACGCTCGCCCGCGGCTCGGCTCAGCCAGTCTGCGAGTACTCAGGCCGCCGCCCCCCGGGGGACCCGATGGCCTCGGAGGGCCTGACGGGAGCGCTGGCTGCCGTGCTGGCGGGCCAGGGGCCGAGCGTGCAGAGCTGCGACTCGGCGCCGGCCGGGGAGCCGCCGGTGCCCGTGCGGCTGCGGAAGAACGTGTGCTACGTGGTGCTGGCCGTGTTCCTCAGCGAGCAGGTGAGCGGCCGCCCGCCGGGCCCGCCGGGCCTCGGGAGCGCGCAGCCAGCCCAGGTGGGGACAGAAGACCCAACGGCCACAGCCAGCGCTGCCGCGTGCGTGGCGCTCCCCAGTTTTGCAAAGCACTCCCACTCCCACTCGCATCTGTGTCCTGCGTTCGTCCCGATATGCATTAGAGGAAACTGAGGCCCGGGACCTGTTTGTCTCATCCCACTAGGGCTCATTCCTTCCCTTCCCCAGAGTCTAGCGGAATGCCCAGGGTCCCCCGGGTAGCAGTGGCTCAATCCGTGTTTACCCTTAGGCCTTTGGTGCTGATCCCTGTAGTAGGCGATGTAATGACAACTAGAAGGGGCCAGGGCCATAGGGCAGGGTTGTACAGAGTGGAGGTGGGGGGTCGTGTTTCAAAGCCAGACCCCAGTGTGAGGACCCATCACAGTTTGTAAACCACGCCGTTGGAGGCGAGAGATACACAGTGACATGTACAGACGCAAATCAGTGCAAGACACATGGTGACCCTCACTCTGGGGCCTCATCTCCAGCCCCTGAAGCAGCTTCCAGGAATCTCAGCCCTTCCTGAAATGGAAGTCTTCCTAAATCCAGAGAGGGACGAATTGCAGGGAGGAGAGGGCTGCAGCCCCCAGCTACACGAGGGCAGGTCTACTGGAGCGCTAGCCGGATTGAGGGTGTCCACCCAGAGGGGAGTCTCGGGCGACTGTGTTTGAGGTGTCCCCTGGTCCCCGGGGAGGGAAGGCTGTGGCAGGAAGTGAGGATCCTCTGTCCCCTCAGGATGAGGTGCTACTGATCCAGGAGGCCAAGAGGGAGTGCCGGGGGTCGTGGTACCTGCCTGCGGGGAGAATGGAGCCGGGGGAGACCATCGTGGAGGCGCTGCAGCGGGAGGTGAAGGAGGAGGCGGGGCTGCACTGTGAGCCCGAGACACTGCTGTCCGTGGAGGAGCGGGGCCCCTCCTGGGTCCGCTTCGTGTTCCTCGCTCGCCCCACAGGTATGGCCCACCTGGAGGCAGTGTGAACAGGGCCAGTTGACACCTTTCCCCCAGCTCCTCGGTGAAGTGAGCCCCTCCACAGCCAGTCCTGTTATGACTGGCACAGCCTGGCATGGGCAGATTCCAGCCTTTGGGCTGGGGGCCTCTCTTCTGGGTCAGGGATGTCTGGTGACTGCCACACCTGCACTCCTCTCCACACAGCCTGTCCCTGCCCCATCCCCCACATTTCCCCCAGGTGGAATTCTCAAGACTTCCAAGGAGGCCGATGCAGAGTCCCTGCAGGCTGCCTGGTACCCACGGAGCTCCCTGCCCACTCCGCTGCGAGCCCATGACATCCTGCACCTGGTTGAGCTAGCCGCCCAGTATCGCCAGCAAGCCAGGCACCCTCTCATTCTGCCGCAAGAGCTACCCTGTGATCTGGTCTGCCAGCGGCTTGTGGTCACCTTTACCAGCACCCAGACAGTGTGGGTGCTGGTGGGCACAGTGGGGATGCCTCACTTGCCTGTCACTGCCTGTGGCCTCGACCCTGTGGAGCAGAGGGGTGGCATGAAGATGGCCATCCTGCGGCTGCTGCAGGAGTGTCTGACCCTGCACCACTTGGTGGTGGAGATCAAGGGGTTGCTTGGACTGCAGCACCTGGGCCGAGATCACAGTGATGGTATCTGTCTGAATGTGCTGGTGACTGTGGCTTTTCGGAGCCCAGGGATCCAGGATGAACCCCCAAAGATTCGGGGTGAGAACTTCTTTTGGTGGAAGGTGACTGAGGAAGACCTGCAAAGCCAGCTCCTCAAGCGGCTTCAGGGATCCTCTGTTGTCCCAGTGAACAGATAGGGAGGTGGAGGAGGTGACAAGGAGCTAGGCAGCCATGCTCCCTCCAGTGCAGACATGTCTCTCTCTGAGGGAGGCAAGAGGCTGGCGATCAGGGATCTTGTTGCATTGGGAGCAGGGGCGGCTCTCCTGGTTCCCGGGAGAGATGCTTTGAGGAGCATTCCTCTACATTGCACAAGGGACAGTGCCTTTAACCAAGCAAGGAGTCCAAAGCTCAGGACCTCACAACCCTGAGGGCACACTGACACCTCTCCCCAGGGGGATGGGGAGCTTTCTGCACCACCAGTGGCATCTCCTCCTCATGCTCTGTGCCCTCCTTGGGAAAGGCCTGCATCCTGATCCTTCCAGGCCCTTGGAGCCTGGAGGGGCACTGGGGAAGGTGTCCTGAGGGAGGAGCCCCTTGCTGAGTAAAGAGGTGTTACTTACCTTGCCTCCCTGCCTAAACGTTTCTGTGGGGAGCAAGTGTTGGGGACTGCTGTCCAAGAGCTGCTGTTCCCATCGTGTTACCCACAGCTGCCCATGCCTTTCCCAGTGCACTGACAGTGTGGGCCAGTCTGCTGTCCAGCATGGCCCCCGGGGCTCCTTCCAGCTGGCCTGCTGGCCCGGGATGTGACTCGGAGGGGACCCATCCCTAATGAAACACAGCTCTGAGTCCTCCAAGGGTTGGGCAGCGGGTGGCCCCAGAGGAACTTCACGTGGGACGGGCTGCAGGTGCTGCCTCTGCTCTCTCCTTGAGCCTCCCTGGCACAGACCCCTCCCCCGGCTCTCCTGCCTCTGCCTTTTCACAGCTTCAGCCCACACCAGACCAAACCTTTTTTTCATATCCCCTCAGCCTGGCTGAATCATGGTAGGAATTTTTTTTTTTTTTTTTTTTTTTTTAAGTGGCCAGGCACAGTGGCTCACGCCTGTAATCCCAACACTTTTTGGTAGGCTGATGCAGGTGGATCACTTGAGGTCAGGAGTTCGAGACCAGCCTGGCCAACATGGCAAAACCCCGTCTCTACTAAAAATACAAAAAACTAGCCGGGCATGTTGGCAGATGCCTGTAATCCAAGATACTTAGGAGGCTGAGGCAGGAGAATCGCTTGAACCCCAGAAGCAGAGGTTGCAGTGAGCTGAGCTCCAGCCTGGGCAGACTGTCTCAAAAAAAAAAAGAAAACTTTGGCCAGGCACGGTGGCTCACACCTGTAATCCCAGTGCCTTGGGAGGCTGAGGCAGGAGGATCGCTTGAAGGCAAGAGTTTGAAGCCAGCCTGGGCAACATAGTGAGGCCCTGTCTCTACAGAAAAACAAAAAACAAACAAACAAAAAAACCCAGGCAAGGTGGCGCACACCTGTAAATCCCAGCTACTCAGGAGGCTGACGCAGGAGGATTGCTTGAGCCCAGAAGGTGGAGGCTGCAGTGAGCCATGATCAGGCCACTGCACTCCAGTCTGGGTGAGAGAGCAAGACCCTCTCTCAAAAGAAAAAAGAAAGAGAAAAGAAAGAACATTTAAGCGAAAATCAAAGGAAATGAACAGATAAAATATATCAAGTGTTCTACGGTAGAGATTTCTGATTCTGAGCAAGGAAACACTTGCATGGGCTCCCCTTCTCCTGAGGGCCGAGATAACCTCCAAGGCCCCTTTTCCAGCCCCCTCCCTGCCTCCCTTGGCTGCCCTCTTTCTGGCCCCTGGAAGGTGGTAGGAATCCTTGTACCCTCTGAGGACAAATGCCTCGCAAATGATGGAACCAAACCCTTTTGTTTCAGTTCATTTCTGTCAGTGTCGAAGGGACCCACCGGCCCACATCCAGTCAGCCGGGCAATGACATTTGGCTATTTGTCCCCATTATTTAGCCTAGTAGTTTTCAACCCTGGGAGCACATTAGGGTCACCTGGGTTTTTGTTTTTCTTTCTTTCTTTCTTCTTTCTCAGACAGGGTCTTGCTCTGTCACCCAGGCTGGAGTGGAGTGGTGTGATCCTGGCTCACTGTAGCATTGACCTCCCAGGCTCGAGTGACAAGTGATTCTCCTGCCTCAGCCTCCCAAGTAGCTGGAACCACAGGCGCATGCCACCACACCCAACTAATTTTTAAGTTTTTAGTAGACATGGGGTCTCGCTATATTGCCGAGGCTGGTCTCGAACTCCTGTCCTCAAGTGATCCTCCTGCCTTAGCCTCCCGAAGTACTGGGATTATGGGCATGAGCCACCATGCACAGCCACCTGGAGAGCCTGAACTCTGGGCCCACCCCCAGCAACAATAATTTAACTGGTGATGGGACACTGGGCATTGGGATTTTAAAAAGCCACCCAGTGATCAACACGAGTTGAGAGCCACCGTCTGGCTCCTTTTCCTCCAAGTTCTCAGCCTGCCCTCCCGCAGTCTCTTGGGGAACCCCCTCAGAGGATCCCCCACCCTTCCACACACATCTAAGGACAAAGGGTTTATTTATTTATGTGTTAACTTTTCTGTTTCCCTGAGAACACACCTGTGAATTATTACTATTATTTTTTTTTAGAGACAGGGTCTTACTCTGTTGCCCAGGCTGGAGCGCAGTGGTGCAGTCAGCTCACTGCAGCCTTGAACTTAAAGACAAGGTTTTAAATACCAGGCCTACTTTACAACTAAAACAGGCATACAACACACAGCATACACACACCCAAGTGAGACTTGCACATAGATGCTCCCACGTGGTCCATTCCCTCACGGTGTCTCCGGGGCGGGCAGGCTCTCGGCTGCAGGTCAGCCCAGCAGAAGTGGCACTGCTCTGCCAAGAGTCTGGCTCCTGGCAGGCTCTGAGGATCAGCAGATCTGCATTGCCAGAGCCTGTCTGTTTACCGCCCACCCCACCTCCCTGCTCCAGTGCTAGAAAAAGAATTTGTCTTCCTTGGGGAGGAAGATGGGCCCGAATTAGCAGTGGAGTCCTGGGCAGAAGGAGGGGAAACTTGGCCAAGAACAGAGCCACCATGTCCACGCAATCACACCATTTATTGCTGTGCTGTCCGGGGAAGACACCGTGCAAACGCCAAAGTGCATGGAGGAGAGGGGAGGGTCTGTGACTCCCAGACCCTCGAATATTTTATGAATCTAAGAGTCCAGACGCAGTTCATCCACGGAGATCTGTGCCCTGTCCACACCAACACCCACGTTCGTGCACGCACATGCGCACGGTGCTCTTCAGAGCGGCGAGGTCCTCCCCCGTGGGGAGGAATGCGGGAGAGGCAGAGGTCACTGAGTTTCCTCCTGTTTCGTGTCACCTCTTGGCAACCTGTGTCTGGCTTCTAGAAGTGGCATGGGCAAGAAAAGGAAGCGAAAGAGGCTCTGGCCTGCTCCTCCTTGCCCAGGAGCAAAGCCAGCAACTGTGTAGTCCCGCTGTGAGGTAATGCCTGGCGCCGCCCGTGTATTCCTGCAGGTCAAGACATATTCGGGCCGGGTGGGGTGGTGGCCCCAGCCACAGAGGGCATGCAGGGAGAACAACACCAGGACTGGCTGCCTGGGCCGCAGCCACTCCCCGCCAGGCTCAGGGGCCTGGAGTCAGGGGGCGTCCTGCCCTTATCTGTCCCCTGAGCTCCCTGGCCACCCAGAAGGGTCTTCTATCAAGAACACTGGGCCCTGAGCAGAAGGGAGGGCAAGGCCTGGCCTCCCCTGGTCTCTGACCTCTCTGTCCAGGTGCTGCGGACCTGCTGAGACGGGTTCAGAAGGCGCCAGAGAGGAACTAGCTGGACCTGAGCCTGGCTCCCGGGCCCGCTCCCCTCCCGGCTGCAGCTGCACCAAGGTTCTCATTAGCAGCGGCCCCCGCCTGGGTGCGGAACATGCTTTGGGCATTTGCCATGAGGCGGCTGGGCGTTTTGCAACAGTTTCCAGGGGAGCAGAGCGGGAAGAGGGGCTTCCCCAACGATCCTATTCACTGCTCCTCCTCCATGGGCCAAGTGGGCCAAGCCGTGAAGGCAGGGGACAAAATGTCAGGTCTCAGCAGCTCCCATGGTACCTAATGTGACACAGACAAGGCTCCAGGCCCCATCTCCCTGGCCTGGGCTCCCGACCAGTCTCAGAGCCATCAGCTCACTCCCCATCTTGCCCCTGGAGTTGAGTCACAGGTCTTGGCCCTGGCCACAAATGGCCAGTACAGAGGGGGCCAGGCACATAGCACATGAGGGTCTGGGGCCTGGGTGCTCACCTGGCTGTCACCCAAGCTCCTCCAAGAAGGCCCCAAGGACCCTGCTGCCTGGAAAGCCATCTGTTTGGCTCCTTGGTGCCTGGCATGCCCATTCCCTGAAACCCAGTCTGGTGTGGTCAACATGCCGCAGTCTCCTTGAGTGAGCCCGGGAGCAGAAGCCCCATCCCAGGAGAGGAGTGTGGCGGCAGTGCCAGGCAGGAGGCCGCTCTGGGGCAGAGGTGTGGACAGGAGTCTCCCACCGCCCTGCTCCTGGCTCAGACCTGCCCTTCCGGGGCTGGGGAGAGGTTCTGGCGAGGATCATGCGGGGGAAACTTGACGAAGGCAATGGCAGCTAGCTCCTTGCAGAACTCCTCCAGCACCACCACGCCCTGGAGGAGGGTCTGGTGGTCCAGCCTGAGGGGAGATGACACAGGGGGCATGGCTGGGTGGGGGCAGGACTGTGCCCAGCATGACAGCCCAGCATCCATGAGGCTTGACCCTGTGGCCGGCCACCTGTCCTCCAGAGGCACTTTCTACCCTCCCACCCCCAGGCTTCACCTGGCACCCTTGGTACTCACTGCTCCCCAGGAGCCTGGCCCGTCAACTGCTTGCGCACCAGGAGCAGCTTGCCTGGGAATTGGGGTACCCTCTGGATTCTCTGCATCAAGTCCCCGATCACCTAGATTAGGAACCACAGGGGACTCAGATGGGGCCAGCAACACCAGCGGGTCCCCTGGCCCTGCCACACCATGCAGAGCATGGGAGACTGTGCTTTCCCTGGCACTGGCAAGGGTGCCCACCCCTCCAGCCCCCAACCACCTGCCCCGTTCCCCTTCCCTGCTGTTCCCTCCACCCCCACTGGGCACA